TAGGTACACAAAGCGAACGATATGCTATTGATAGCGATAAAATTCTCCGGTAAAAATAAATTTTATATTTGTTTGAAAGAGAATTTCAGCTATGAAATAAGTAGCAAAAATATTTTAATCTTTTCGCAGCGCTGAGTTTGAATGTACTATGCGATAAATTAATCCTTTACGCCTGAAATAATTTTTAATATCGTTTAATACCAGACCTGCGCGTCTGAATGCAGGCAAGATAGAAAGATAGCTCAAATCTTTGTACCGTTAATTGAAATTCTCTATAACAATTTTGCAAGAATATAGATGCAACTTCCGATGGCGAATAAATGAACAATTAAGAAAAATTGATGATTTTGCAATCAGACGTATGATGCCAAATTTGAGATATTTATCTTGAATTTATAATGACGGCTTCTTTAACTAATATCGAGATATTTTTAATATTTTAATATTTATCTCTATCTTGAAATTTTCCTCGAGAAAGAATGTTTATCTGAGCGCGCTCATCAAAGAGACTTTTATCAAGACAGGCATAGGCAGCATCTTACGAGCCTGTTGTATCTGGGATAAGTAATCCTATTGAGAGTTATCAATCTTGTACACCTACTGTGTTTGTGCATTCAATTGTTTATAAAAAGTGTAGGAACAAAACGTATGTTTAAATTATAATTATATTCTTGCAAATTAATTACATATTTTTTTCTTTTTGCATAAATCAATCTCTCCCTTCTCGATATTCTATGCATATTAAAATTAAAGCATTAAGATAAAGTCATCGAAGAATGATTTAATATGAAACCTTTCACACTATTCGGACTCAAGTTCTACTTCGTGCTGATTTATCTTTCTCGTTTTTTTTTACTTCTTGCTTCTTTCTCATATATAAGTCTATCTCTTCCCACTCGTCGTATCTTCTTCCATCTCATCTCTTCTTATTTCTTACGTCGTTTAGTTATAGAGTGAGCGCATAAACTCCCACGCGCTGTTCGATAATACATCGCCGTGCGTAACAACGTATTGCCTATGTACATCACACTTGTTCGCTTTCAGCGACCTGTCTCAGCAACCTTTTCGAGCAATTGTTTTCTGTCGTTGCGAGAATCGAGGCGCTAAAGTAACAAAGCTGTCGCCGAGGTTTTGTCAGAAATTGCGCGATAATTCCTGGATCATAAGAGGAAGCTCTGCTAATGGAAATTAATCGAAGACTCCCGGCTCTCGTACAAAAAAAAAACAAAAAAAACAAACAGCTATGGCACATAATGTCACATTCCTTTAAATAATTTCTTCTTTGAAAAAGCCTCATTACCCCCAAGGCCGATATCATTGTAACGGGAGTTCTTTAGCGACTTTAGCGATTTTATGAATGGCTACTGTATTTACGCTACAATGCTATTTTCTACTTTCTGAGAAATAACACTCTGGTGCCATAAAACATCTCTGTGACGTCGCACACGAGTATCGTATTGCGTGCTCGTTAATAACGGTCGCCGACTTATACAGAGGCGAGTTTTAAAGTGAGATACGCATGCGGCTTCGACCACGGAAACGCGCTCGTAGATTACGAAATCTCCAGCAATGTCCGTTGTTAGTTGCATGCTTTATCGTCGTGTACTATATACATTACGTCGCATCATGTCGAATATTCATTAGATCCATCTGTCATGGAAAGATAGAAGATTGAACTTTATATATATAGATTATCTTATTCCGAAATTAGTATTAGTTATCGAACGCGCAGGCGTCGTTATCGGAAAAAAATTATTGCGTTTAACATTTAAAGCGAATTGCCTCGCCAACTCTGTGGATTTATAATAATGTCTTCCTGACGCAGAAAATGCCATCGTTGGTCAAAAGAGACGTGAACGCCGCTGAGGCGCGTAACGAGGAAGTTAGCGATGCCGGTATCACCGATTCCAACATAATTTTCACTACAGAAATTGAGGAAAGGGCTGGTAAGTATTATCGTAATTTTTAATTTTATTTTTCTTTGAAGAATAATCATCGCTTCCAAATTTCTCTTCTCATCTGTCGCGGAATTAAAATTTAATTGTTGTTTATTAACAATCATATATGATGGACTTGGCGGAGTATTCTTTAGAGAACGCACGTATATTCTGTATAATTGATCCTCGTTTGCATTAATTTAATATTAATTTAAATTCGCGCTGTGTTACTTTCAGGAACAGATGAAGCCATTACCGAAAGTACGACGAAATCGTTGAAGGATAAAGTGGTGGATCTCGAGGAAAAGCTCGCGCATGATATGGGGATACCTCCTTGGGGTCTTGTTGCTATTTTAATAGGTAAATAAGCGCATGCCCCTTGACACATACACATTCACAAAGCCGGCTTCTCAATCAATCGAGAATAATCGATCCTCATTACCTGTAAACGAAAAATTAGTCTATAACTGATTATTCCGCGAAACAACGTTAAACATCGAACAAAATAATGCATTACATTAAGTCATGCAGTCATTTAATTTAAATATAGTATTATGCATAAAGATTAAACATTTTATTTTTTTTACGTATTTTATATACATTTTATTTTAAAAATATTGCACAACTATGTTTTCTTTTCTCTGTTTGATATATATAAATTTCTTCCTTTTAAATAAATTTTAGGTATAATATGTAACTATATGTAGGTATGCGCATGTCAAAAATCTATACTGACATATTATAATAATACTTATTTACATTTCTCTCTCCTGTATAGGAGTAGGCGTAATCGTTCTCGGAATTTGCTTCTGCTGTATACGAAGATGCTGTCGCAAGAGACGCTCCAAAGATGGCAAGAAGGGACTGAAGGGCGCAGTAGATCTAAAGTCCGTGCAGCTTCTGGGCAGCACGTACAAAGACAAGGTATGTATTCGGTGTGCCGTGACTTCATGTAGATGTTAGAGATACATTCTACACTCGTGGAATCCACTTCGATATGCGAAGGTACAGCCGGATATGGAAGAATTGACGGACAATGCCGAGGAACCGGACGAAGCTGAAAGTAAGCAGAGCGAAGTTAAACTCGGAAAGCTACAATACAAGGTACAGATTGTTATTTATCGCATTTTTTATTTTTTTATTTTATTTTATCTATTATTTTATTTCATTTTATATATAACCGCTTTTCATAGTTTATCTTTTTCCTTTTTCATCTTTCTCAATTGTTATAAATGGAAAATCAAATCAGCAAATTTTTTAAATTGAACTAAATTCACATCGAGAAAAATACGCCAAAGAAATTAATGTCATATCTCTAATATTGATTTTTATTAGTATATCATACCAATATGTTTTTTATCACGAGACCTGTATTTCAAACGACAAATAATCCACATCTTTTTATTTTACTATTAATACAGCTATTTTTAATTTTATTTGTTTTTAACTTTATTATCTTTATATACATAATACATATATGCAACGTAATATGGACACTCTAAAAAATGGAACGCGCTTGGTTTCAGCTCGAATACGATTTTAATTCAAACAGTCTCGCCGTGACAGTAATCCAGGCTGAAGAATTGCCGGCATTGGACATGGGCGGCACATCAGATCCATACGTAAAAGTATATTTATTGCCAGATAAGAAGAAAAAGTTTGAGACAAAAGTTCACAGAAAGACGCTGAATCCGGTCTTCAACGAGACTTTCACCTTTAAGGTCAGTCAAGAATTAATATTATTCCTGATAAAAAATAATAATAATCAATTAACTATATAATTAATCTGGAATGCAATTCTCAGACAGCTTCGGATTTTTATTTGTTTTTTCATGTTCTAAATGCAAATGTGTGCGAAAGCACAATTTACTGCGATGTTGTTGTTATTGACAAACGTACTTGTATCGTAGAGCGTTCCTTATGCCGATGCTATGAACAAGACTCTGGTTTTCGCTATCTTCGACTTTGATAGATTTTCGAAACACGATCAAATCGGAGAAGTTAAAGTGCCGCTCTGTCAAATCGACTTGGCGCAGACGATCGAGGAGTGGAGAGAATTACAGAGTGTTGAAGGCGAGGGTGGACAGGTGAGTCGATAAAATTGTAATACGCTATGACAATATATAATGACAATATATAATGAGAATGAAAAATACAATATTAAATTAAATTCTTGTATTTCTTTGTGAAAATGGCGCTTAAATATAAGAATAATTAAAAATTTGACGTATTTTTATAATCTATTAAAAATATTCATCAAATAAGATTTTTTTTCGTTAATTGCAGGATAACAAGTTGGGAGACATATGCTTCTCATTGAGATACGTACCAACGGCTGGAAAACTCACGGTGGTTATTCTGGAGGCCAAGAACCTGAAGAAGATGGATGTTGGTGGCCTCTCGGATCCTTATGTTAAAATCGCGTTGATGCAGAATGGGAAGAGATTGAAGAAGAAGAAAACGTCGATCAAGAAGTGCACTCTTAATCCGTATTACAACGAATCATTCACCTTTGAAGTACCTTTTGAGCAGATACAGGTAGAAAAAATATATTTGATCATTATTTTATAATATTCTTTAAAATATTTATTTATGTCAATTCATAAATCAGTGACAGTTTATTTACTAAAATATTACAAAACTGCATAAATATTAATAACTTTGTCAGAGTTATACTTTTCACTAGAGCCATTATATATATAACTGGTCTTTGATGGACCGCAAAGTATAATACTAATTCGTTAGCATCTCGAATTAACGCGTCTGTTAATTACCCAAAATTCTAAAACACTATTTTTTTAAATGATATGAAAATTTTTGTCATTCATCAGTAGGAAAAAAATTATTATAGGATTAAAATTTATTTATTTTGTGCTTATTTTTCCAAAGTAATATTTTTCTACTTATGCTGATTATCGCAATTATTACAGCAATTTCTCAATCAAAATACATGTTAAAGTGATAATAATATGTGATTATTAATTTTAATGATTGCGACACTACGTGATTCCGTATGACATTCCAGAAAGTACAACTTGTCGTCACTGTAGTCGATTACGATCGCATCGGCACATCAGAACCGATCGGAAAGGTGGTCCTGGGATATAACGCGAGCGGAACGGAATTGAGACACTGGTCTGACATGCTGGCGTCTCCCAGGCGCCCGATCGCCCAATGGCATACGCTAAAAGACCCCGAAGACGGAGATAAGAAGGATTAAGAACGTTGACTTTTCAGTTAAGGTATGGCATTCAATATCAATACAAAATTGAATACGCAGAATGTTCCAGAATAGATCAAAATTCCAATTTTACATCTAATAATTTTTCGACTAATTTGAAATAAATTTTTCATTAACTACAATTTTACAACATTAATAGATTCTGACAAATTAAATTTAAAATTAAAATAAAGATTGATTAAGATTAAATTTAAGTCACATTAAGATCGGGGATTTTTGGAACATCTTGCATAATCAACGTAAGCAATTTTTTTTGCCTTTATCTTGCTTACTCGAAGATCCAGAAAAGTTTTGTAATAAGGATTCTGTCTCTGAAAGCGGCTCTCTCTTTACAGGATAATTGATTGGGAAAAGGGTACGGAAAAGAATAGGTGAGATGTAGGGGGTGTAGAGAAAGAGGGGGAGGAAAGGGAGGAAAAAAGAGAAAGCGAATAAATCCAAAGAGAGAGAGATAACAAATACATACTTAATAGATATTAATACATACTTAATAGATATTAATAATGATTAATTAAATAATAAAAATACCAACCATGAAGGATTTAACATTAAAATAATATTCCCATGTGGAGAGTGTAGTGTCTTGTATATATATATACGTATGTATATCTATAATATACTTCTCTCTGTAGATGTAACGTTGAATGATTTCAAGTAACGCGGCGTCCTTTTTGAGATATCGATTGAACAGAAACGAAAATGTTGAATATTTACAAACAATATATATATATATATATATATATTTATTCTTACAATCACAAATAGACAAAAAGTTATTTTCAAACGTAAATATTTTAAAAAATTTTTTAACACTCAGTTTAGCTATTATATATGTATTTGCCAAAAATGTCAATTTTCCATAAAATTGAATTCTCGTGAAATGTGTTTCAATCTTATCACCGCGCACCGTGTGGATAAACCGAGAGATACAG